GTATAACTATTAAAATATAAAAAATTTTGAATCAAACGTTATATGTCTTGAAAGGCGGCATCACCACGAGTAATTTGAGCTAAAAAATTTTTTAAATCGGTCAAGCCGTTCTGGAGATATAAGTCAAAAAGTGGTGATTTTAATGAAAAATTAAGAAACGTCTCCTTCTCCTTCTCCTTCTCTGTCCGCATTTTTAAACTTTTCAAACTTTTCAACATCCTCTCTCACCTTTCACTCGCACCTCCACCATCTTTGGCTCACCGAACCTCCTCCACTCGCCGCTCCCCCTCCCCCTACCACTCCACCGCCACTCTCTTCCGTCGTATTTCTCTATCTTTCGTTGTTACTACTTTTTAACATCCTCTCTCACCTTCCACTTGCACCTCTACCTTCTTCGACCCACTGGACATTCTCCCCCGTCCTTACTCCTACCCCCGTCACCCACCCCCACCGCCCCTCTCTTTCGCCATAATTCACTCTTTTTCGTTATTACAACTTTTTAACATCCTCTATCACCTTTCACTCACGCCTTTACCATCTTCGGCCCACCGGACCTCCTCCACTCGCCCCTTCCCCTCCCCCTCCTCCCACCCTCACCACCCTTCTTTTGCGCCGTATTTCGTTACAACTTTTTAACATACATATTAAATAAAACTATTATTTTAAATACTATCGACTGCTGACCGATATGACGTATATATAAAATTATCGCAGTACTATCACGAGTCAAATTGTAATAATATATTATCAAGAAAAGTAACTGATTATTAATTATTATAGTTGCCAGTACAAAGTGAACATACGTAAAGTGTGTGTCTTTCGGCCGATTTTCGAATCGCCGCCGCTTTCCGCTGTAACCCTCATTAAATATTTAGAAATAGAAGTAATATATCTCTAAAGCGTACATTCTCATATGAACTGAATGATAAAATTATTATTTTAAGTACTACCGATTGTTGACCGATATGACATATATTTAAAAAAAACTGTCGCAGTACTGTCACGAGTTATATTGTAATATATTACCATGAAAAGTAACTGATCATTAATTATTAAAGTTGCCATCGCCTCCGCTTTCCGCTGTACATATGTATATATATATTTGAAATATATATTTTAAATAAAATTATTTTAAATATTTCCGATTGCTGACTCGTATCACGAATTTAAAAATAAGAAACATATTATAAAATAAATTTTGATAAAAATTTCCTTTTTTACTAAAAACATCTGTTTTAAATAATTTAATTTCTTAAAAATGGAAGTTATAAAGAACGTTTAATTCTTTAAAGAATTAAATTTAAAGAATTACATAACTGGTACTGTACCCTTCGTTTTTTAAATAGTTTTTTATATGACATAAACAATCTTCATCCAAACTGCATAATTAAGGTACAAATGATGTAGAAAACTGATGTCATAAGAGTAACAAAAGAGCATAATAAAAATACAAAATAAAACTTAACGGAGTCCTAAAAATTATTATAAAAGTATATGAATTTATGTACCTTGTCAAAATTGGTAGATAAAGAATTAAAATATCCAAATGAATAAAATTCTTCTGTGTCACAATACAAATGATAATCAAAATTAAATAAGATACTCTGCAGCTATGAGAAAAGAGTGCTGATCTTTGTGATGACAATTGGAATAATGCCGTTAGGATAGAAAGTCAAAGGAGGAAAAAGAGGAAAACAAGGATAGACA